AACCGCCGTTTTACACTTACATACACATGTTTCGCTCCTCCACGGAGCATCCTCAGGAGATCTTCGAAAGCACGTAAAGTCTCCATAGTTCTATAATCTTAGAATTTTCTGATTTGTTTTGTCTTTTTCTTTTTACCATAACAGCCACAACAGTCCACTGCTGGACATGGGCCTCCCCATATCGGGGGGTATTGCCATACTCACCACGTTTGGCAGGCGGATTGGCGAGTGCAGTTCAAGATGTTGCATTTACAGGGAACGCTGCTGCCCATTCCCTGGATGATTATCCCTTAGTCGCTTTTTACGACACCCTCGGGTAGAATTGGGGTGATGCTATTCTAAGCCGGCATCACACGACATTTTCTTTTTATTTCCGTCAATTCCAAGATCGAGAAGTTTAAAAGTTTTGAACCTAAAAGGTGGCTACATCGATAGCCTGTTGATTGACGCTATACAGGCACTAGTATAGTTTGTAGCAGAATTAAATTTGATTTCATCTGTGGGACTTGTCAGCAGTGGGTCTAAAGAGTGAACGACTCTTTTTGGACTCCCGCGCAAAAAGTCCCGTCGTTTTGGTCGGGACGCCGGTCGCGCCGACGACGGTGCCTTTTTGCCGCCAAAAACTAAGGCAGATTTACGGCGCATTGTCTTGGAAAAGGATTTAGAAGAGCTAGATGCGGATAGATTTGGTGGATAAGAGAAAGAGGTCTACGAAAATCGATAAATACTAGGCAAAAATAAAAATAAATCAGACTATCAAAAGTGCGGTCTTTTACAGTCGAATGTTATATTTATTTTCCTAGTAAGGAAATGTAGTGTAATCTTTAATAAAATAGCATAATATTTATAAATACGATAGCGGGTCTCACGCTAAGCTAAGGTAAAAAAATAGGTATACCTACCTGAAAAATTCTGAAAATCAGTAGAAGATTCAACCCATGCTTGTCGAAGGTCTCATTAGTCTATGAATATTCTAGTTCTCATCCAAGATGAAACACATAATTTATTAGAGCTAACCCGACCGACCATGCAAAAGCCTATTACAAAGCCGTCTATAAACCACTAAAACAAAAATTACGGCTCAATACACTCCGGCCGGATATATTTGCGAATCTCCGCGACACACCGCCACCAGCCAGTCGCCCTATAAATCGTTGGTGCTCGCGTGATCGCGCGATCGAACGCTAGAGGGCGCCATGATAATTACCATCAATAACCGAGAGCGCTCCATGCCGATTCGAAAATTGAATTTTAAAACTATAACCTTTCCGGCCACAGCTCGAATGAAAACCACCTTTAAAACAATGAAGGTAAGGTTGAAGTCGGGAAAGTAGCGGTGCGTCTTGAGAAGTCAAACGTGATAAATAAACGGTAAGTAGCTGGCCGGCAGTGTGTGTGACAAGGAGGTATAGATGCAGATTCTCGTGAGAGTGAAAGGATTAGAGGGATAGTGAAGAGTAAAGGGGTGAACAAAACAAACACTGGCCGGCAATTACAAGCGCCCGCGGTGCGCGCGTCGCCGGCAACGCGAGGGCGCGCTACGACGAATTTGATAAGGGAGAAATTCGGACGAAAAAAAGATTAAGACGAGGTCTGAAATAGCATAAAAGAATTCGGTCACAATGTGAAAGGACAGCCATATAAACTAGTTGAAAACATTTTCACAGTTAGAAGAATGTCTAGTAGCCCATTGATCTGGTCGTAACCACGGAAACAGCAATCGAGAATATTTTGTAGAGAAGATAATGCATTTACACAGTATGCATATTTGCAAAGAAGAGGTAGGTAATATTGATAAAGAAAGTCGATCTATCTTGGAAATGAAACAGGAACTAGTAATAAAAACGAAGCAAACAACAATTCGTTCCACATCAAAGCTGACAACCATCACACTAATAGAGCATAAAATTAGATGAATTACCCTATTTATACACGTATACGTATGTAAATGCACATACAGTCATACAGCATGTAACAAAAAGTGTTGGATCTCAAAGAGAGCACTTCGAGAAACGGAACAACTGAAGAAACATAAGGTCAAGTTAGTTCAAACGTTCAAATTGAGAATGAACCGGCATAAAAATAGTAAGGTTTATGCATTATTGTCTCTGTCTCTAAAATTGCGTATAAAAAAATTAACTGACCGCTTTTTTCCATAATTTGGCAAAGGTCTTAAAAGTTTTATGACAAATTACTATACTATAGGTATCAGTGGCGAAGGATGTAGGCCGCTGAAAAAAAAGCTAAATCAATGCACATTGACATGAGATGATACATTTTTAAACTTCTGAAAGGGAAGTCGATGGGAAACGGCATGCATGGACCCTTCACCACTGCTAGGTATATCTTTCACCCTATATTTACATACACACCTACAGCTAGACACACACGCTCAAGTACCCACGCGCGGTCATAGGTGAGCGCGAAGAACATCAATATCATGCAGATTGGGGGCAGCAGCTTCAAAGCTCGGGACTTGACTGATGACCCGCTTCTGGTTTTTAATATTCATGCACGTAATTGAATTTCGGGTCTTGAACTAAGAATTAATATGAACAATGTTGAAAACAATCCGTATGGTGCGGGATTAGAATAGTTTCACCTTTCTACATGTAGGCGTCGTAAATGGCGACTTGAGGACATGTCCAGAGAAAAGGCAGCAATATTCTCGGCGAATTCAAAATATTGGACTGTGCTCTCCAACCTGCTAGCCAAAATTGGCGAGTATGGCAAAGATGTTCACGAAATAGACAAGAATAGAAAAATAGGGAAACTGTAGCAGTAATAAAATCTCGTGTTATTTATGAAAAAAAAGAAAGCATGGACGTGGCCCAAGCTTGATTAAACTGAAACAAATATCGTGAATCATAATGAGATTCACAATGAAATTTTGAGATTCACAAATGCAGGTTGTCTAACTGAACTACCTTATATGATCAACCATTTAAAAGATTTGCATTTCAAATAAGACAAGACGATAAGACAAGTCTAAACATTAGTCTGATCTTACATAAGGTCGCGAGGTTAACGCGTACAACATTAATATATACTGTAAAAAAATGAGGGCACCTTGTGGTTTGACTTATGATGTGCTTCTGGTATTGGTTGTTTTATTTAGGTTTTAGGCAGCTCTGGAATATCAGGTTTTGGAAGTTAGGATTTAGTTTTTTTAGAAAGTCATCGGCGTAAGATGCTGATCAAGATATGTTTAGGAAAGCAATGCAAGCTTTTGCCGTTTTGTGACTCAAGTAGAGTGTGATAAGGGAAGCACCACCTGACAAAACTTATGAAGGAAGATAAAGTTAGAAAGAAATATTTCATAAGGTACTTTATAAGGCCTGCTCTGTTTTCCGTGATAACAAGAACTTTTGCGTAATTCCCTCGATACCTGAACCAGTAAACCAGCCCATAGCGGCCATATAAGGCGTTAATCGCCACCAGCTGCCGTTTCTGCGAACCTGGTGGTATCGGGCCTTCCATCTCACAGAATTCAATTAAAAACTAAGTTATAGAGAGCAGTTTTCAACGAATTTTGCTGATTTGCTGACGGATAAGAAAATTTCAAATTGTTGAAATTAAAAGTTAGTGTGGTAGAAATTTACAGATGAATGATCTTCTTCTCCTTCTTCGAGTAGGTAGGACACCAAGTCATCCAACGACCCGATGAACCCTGGTGTCAGATGAATGATGGATGATTTAGTTATTCCAAAAAAAGGTCATGTTAAGTACCTACCTACTTCACAGGGAAATGTAATGACAAGTCTGTGGTGATCAGCTTAAATGGTTGAGACAGTTTTATCAGATTTCAAGATCAATGATCTTCATTGAGCTAATTTGCTTCCATAATTATCTTCGGAGATCCAATTATTCATCGCAAAAACTAGAAGATATTGTGCAGTTTTTCCGCTAAACGCTATAAAATATCAATGCTATTATATGCTATTATATATGATTTATCTGTGGGAACCAACTTCACTTCACGTTCAATAGTTTAAAAACAACGTCAAGGTTTTAGCGAATATCTTTCTTTTTCTAATTTCGATTAAAGATTTCCTATTACGAGCCTTTTTATATAGATTTCGTTGTATCATTATCATTAGCAGAAGATAATTTTTCAATAACCTTTTGCGTTTTGTTGATAAAGTTATTAATAGTTTCATCACCTTAAGGGTTCAAATCAAAAGCTGTTTTCAACTCAATCAAACCAAAAATCTCGAAAAAATATGGCAAATCATTCCCAAAACATCTGACCTAGTGGGAGGGCAGGGATTATCAATTAATACAAACAAACGGACATAATCAATTAATGAAATAGAACGTGGGCACGCTCTCACACGAAGAATGGGGAAAAAACTATACGTTTTGAAAGGTGGTTATTTATGTGCTTTTGAACTTTTTGTGTTGCTTAATGTAGGTTATCTTTTATATTTTTTAAATCGTTACATTTTCTTTTATTGTCAAACTATGCTAAAAAATAACAAAAGGATACGTTGAATATAAAAGTTATTAAACTGGGAAATCAGAAGGTATCTAAATATAATTAATGCGATCTTATGTAAACAGATATACAAAAACCAAACTGAAAAGGATATGCTCTAACTAAGGGTATCAATATTTGCATATTACTTAGAAAAACCCTTAGTACAATAAATTCGACGATACTTATCAGTCCCATAATGTAAATATACCCTCATTAAATTACCATAAATTAATTTGGAATCGACCCGTTGTACCAGGCGTGCATAAAACGAAAGGGTCTGAGGTAGAACAGTGCTAACAGGCGAGGAGGAATGAATAAATCAAAAACAAAGAGGAAACGGTCAATCATTCCCTGCTTGCCAGCTTTTGTGAACTCTGCGTAAAAGGTTGGGCCAGGAAAGTAGCAATAGGCAGGAAATTAACAAAAAGAAAACTTAGTTAAAAGTTGAATTTTACTGTACTTATAAATTAAATAATGAGAAAATTGAAAAATTCACTAGCGACCGCCGGGACTTGAACCCGGGACTGTGGTGGAACGGTGTATGGTGCTATATTATTTTCATAAATTAACAGTCCCGGGATCAAGTCCCGGCGGTCGCTAGTGAATTTTTAAATTTTCTCATTATTTAATTTATGAGAATAATATAACACCATACAGAATACATTAGCACTGTGAGTGCATTAAAAATTCCAATACATTTACTGTACTTATTTCAGAGACCTACTAATGAAAAGCTTTGACGCCAGGAAGGGCTCAACGATCTTTTTTCGACTCAACGTCCTAAAGAGAGATAACTGCTTATTGACTAACTGTGATGTATTTTAGGGCATGGAAAGTTTATGCTATGTAGGTACCTATTTAATTAAATCTTATTTCAGATTTAGATTTTATGTTGGTTAAACTAAATGTGACAGGAATAGTTTAAGTTTAAAAGTCTAGTCGAGAAGGAAGGAACTAATTTCTTAAGCTTTTTTCTTACTCTCGCTATCTTTGTGACCCAACACGTCCCTTCAACGCAGCGAAACGTTTAGACCACAAAAACAAAAGCACACCTTTTAACGTTTCCGTATTACAAAACATGCTTTAAATCTATTATAATGACATTAATAAAATTTATAAAATAGCGCTATAGACGATGTTTTAAACAAGCACCAAAAGAGCGTTTGACACCGAATTGAATTGTGGGTATTTAAAAGAAATAAATACTCTAGGGACTTTTATTTAGATTTGCTTTTAAGCGAAAGTACTTGAACTTTTATAGTAGCTTATTCTAAGTTATAAAATACCTTAAAAATATATATGGCGTGAAATTTTACTACTGACTGACCCATAGCGAAAACTCAGAACCGGCTGGTGATAGATGAGGAACAACTTCCCCCAAGGAACATAGGTCGAAATACGAAAAAAAATGTTGGTCCTTCTATACTAAATTGCCGATCAACTGATTTGAGTTACTATGGTAGATCAAAATTTTTTTTCGTATTTCGACCTATGTTCCTTGGGGAAAGTTGTTCCTTATCACCAGCTGGTTCTGAGTTTTCGCTATCGGTCACTAGTAAAATTTCACCGTATACAGGGAGTAACAGAAAGGGTACAACAAGCCGAAAGGAGGTCAAGGTACTCATGAAACTGAACAACTTTCCCTATGGAACATGGGTCGAAATATGAAAAAAAAATTTGGACCTCCCATACTAAATCAATCAGCTGATCGGCAATTTTGTATGGGGGGTCCAAATTTTTTTTTCATATTTCGACCCATGTTCCATAGGGAAAGTTGTTCAGTTTCATGAGTACCTTGACCTCGTTTCGGATTGTTATACCCTTTCTTTTACTCCCGGTATAGTAATGGGTATAGTACTTGAGGTTTTTAAGCAGTTACCAAAATTTAAGGTTTTGCGTATTTTGAAAACATGTGGTTCTCGCTAAAGGTTTCTAAACAAGTTCTATCTACTTTATGTAATGATATTTCGTAGAGAAGCAGTCAAAGTAGCATCGGATGTACCAGGAGCCCATAACCATTCAACAGGTTAGCCAGTTAGATGGCGAAGATAACGCTGCCATATAAACACCAGTTATCGTTAGATTTGCAACCAGCTACTTGCCGGCGACATTTGGTGAGAACAGTAAGGCAGCAACATTTGCATATTGTCTACAGGGACACAGGTGTAGGTACAGGGTGATTGCAATACTTAAGAGTTCAAATCTATAGGGAACAAAAAATAGAAATAAGCAGATTTGTTTGGGAGGGATAAATATTTTGTATGGGGGCTTGACCCATGTTCTATGGAGAATTTTGTTCTTAAACATGACTTTTCAGAAAGTGTTGGTGGTGGTATCAACAGGTCAGCAATATCATGATGGAATATAAATAACACAGTGCATTCAACAAAAATAAATAAAAAATATTGCACGATCGAACACTAGGTAAAATATAGCGAGATGAAGTCATCTGCTTACATTTTTAATGAGATTTGGGTTAAGTTTTAGAGTTTATTACGAGAAAGACTGTACAGAACCTAATAGCGTTACCCAGGTCGTCGCAATGAGGGCTAAAGGTCACCACACACTACCTACAAACGTTTAATTCATGCAAATCCACTTAAGTGTGTGCATACCTTAACATTCAGATGCATTTATGCACAACACAACACTTTAGCACGTACGTAACTTAACTTGTAAAGTGTATTTCACGATAAAAACCAATAAATGGATACTATGTCAGTTAGCATTTCATGTATCTTGCTGTAAATACCAATAAGATATATACTTATATTTATTTATCTCTGTGCTGGGCAAAGGCACCACTCTCATTGGTCTCCGGTTTACAATATGTAATATGAATGACATTTATTGTAATATTTTTAGATTCTTTTGCTTGTATTATATTTAAAATTTGCATGTTGCAATGTACGTGACAGAAAATGTTGACCTTTAGTTTTAAGCCTAACATCTGCTATATTTGTACCATTTTCTTTGCAAATAAAGATCTGAAATCTGAAATCTGAAATAATAAAAATTATTAAAAGGTTTAAATTGAAATTGAATATAATTACGCTTTAAGTGGTACTTAAAGATTTTTCGCGATAACAGTGTTTTATCTGCAGTAATAATAATTTTGTATTATTTTATTATTCTTTTAGTTTGCGTTTAATTAAATTAGATTATTTTAACACCTAGGGCAAGAAACATTAACGGTTATATTATACCTCTCATATCAGAGACCCTCTTTTTTGCTTTTAATGGGGATATCTATGTTTCTCATACATAGGTACCTGCATACATACATATACCTATCACATCACGCATATATCCCTTGCGGGGTAGGCAGAGCGTAAACGGCTGTAAAAAACAGCCATTTACACCACGTCTGACGAAAGATTGATTAATTCAGAAGACTGTGTATCCACCATATTGACAGGTTGTCAACCAGTCAGTCAGCCATTAATTCCCTAGTTTCCTACCTCATTGATTGGTCAAATGGAATACACTTTGACTCTAGTTTTGTATAAAAAAATCAATTACTTTACCCAAAAATACCAGGGCATTATGAGCCGTAGCAGGTGGCTGTTAAAAACGCATCAAGCATCCTCGCTTGCAGTGGGTAGGTATAAGTGTACTTAGCTTGATGATGGTTAAACATCATTACATTTAATCACCACAATTTTGAAGTTACATTGTTAGTTAGTCTGCTCTTTTGCGAAGAGGTTAAACAAATACATATCAGTCACAATCATTAATGAAAATAATACAGCACAGTGCAGTGCTGGGTTAAAATTGCATCAGCCTATATCTTTCCCGTGGGTGTCGTAAGCAGCGAGTAAGTTATTGCATATATCCTGTCACTCACTATGGTGATACACAGCATATACTTACATAGTCTTCTGAATATACCTAGTATATGGCCGTTTTTTAACAGCCGATTGCGCTCTGCCTACCCTGCAAGGGTTATAGGCGTGTTACCTGTATATTTGTATGTATTTAGCACAGTGTGTGCAACAATTAAAACGCATAATTGTTGGTCTTAGTCAACAGTACCTATAGTGATTAAAACGAATGTGATGCCATGATAACACCTTTTAAATAGTCCATATCAGAGGCGGCAAATATGGCCCAAAATCTCAATTTTTAAGAAACATACAAAATGTATTCAATCGGGAATATTTGGGGCAAATAAATCAACATTACTTTATTGCAAAACTATACTTATCAAACTTATGCATGCAATGGGAAACTGGCACAGGTATAACACAGGTATTAACCCGTATGGATATGGTGGTCTCATTAGCAAGCTTATCAGTGCACCGCCTCAGGCGAAGAATGCAAAGTGCAATTCGCCGACTGCGTGAAGCAAGGGTGGAGTGACTGGGTAGGGCTATAGGTGATGGATCTTCCTATAAGGCTATTTTGTCTCTACCAACTGGTCTACCGCGGCTCAATCGAGCCTGCGAAATAGAGCAAGTGTATCTTGGCCAATAACTCTTGACCGAAAGTAGCTGGCTCAAATTCTGCCTGTGGTGGAAAATTTTGTTAGTTTTCCAAAATATAAGACCTAACCTAACACATGCAGTATTCTTAAAATTTGGTATTCTATATTGTATGTTAGTACCTACCTTATTAATGCCAAAATGTCATTCTATGAGAAGTCCCATGCTCGTCGAAACCAGCCTATCTGAATCTATGAGATACGTATTTTCCACCGGATAGGTAACTGAGCTTCGATTATTCGATTTATAAGCTATTACGAAAATAATACTAAATACAGCCCCTATTAGGTACTTATTAAATTTCGAATCACGACACAAGCAGATTAGCCATATTTTGACGTCCTAAAATTAAGTTTTATTTTTCGTAGTTGCCATGCTAAAGATACCGTTATGTGTATGTGCAGGTAAATATCAATTAGATACAGAAGAAACTTATGCAATTTTTTTCTTCTGTCAACTGTTGCAGATTAAAAGCAACATATGGATGCTTTTAGCAACATTGCTATCTTTAGCAACATTGCTATCTTTAGCAAAATATTCTTACATTTAAACATCAATATAAAGTAAATTTTTCATTCGCACCTGATAACGTCAATGTAACTCTTTCAATTTTATGGTCGAAATTATCGGCCAATTTCAATATCAAATTGTGGTTAAGTGCTCTCAAAATGTATTTGCTTATTTACGATTGTTGGTACTTTACCAAAGTTTGTATCTGGCTTTTTATGTCAGAGAGCGACTGGTAGTGACTGGATGGAAAAAATGGAAAATCATTTCTTAACTATTCTCAAGACGTATTTGATTATTTACGATTATTGGTACATAACCAAAATTTGACAGTCTTTTAACGTCAGAAAGAGAGCGACTAGTAGTGACTGAATGGCGAATACGGAAAATCTTGTCTAAATTCTGGATTAACATCAGAATGGCGGGACCAAGACGAAGGTTTGAATTTTCCATATAACAAATATTTAGTACCTAATTTCTTCTGATTAGTGCCTATGATAAGGAAATTTCTTCCTGATCGGTTTAGAAATTATTTCAGTTTTAAAGTGGTCCGCAATTCTGATGTCAGGTCTGCGGGACCATTCACGGTTTACCAAGAACTACACACT